CATCCGACTCTCAGTAGAACCTGGATGGCTTTGCTCATTTGCAAAAAATGCACGTGGGCTAGAAGATCCCGAGAATCAAAAATTTGTAGTATTATTAAGCCTCAGGTCAGTACCATTCATATTGTATGTAATACCTGACCAAAGTCGTCAGACGGATGCCGTAAATGTAACGGAATTAGGCGCATCTGAAACAGATGAGTCTTTAATAATCTTTAATTCGTGGTAAATGGTTAAATGTCCTAGAGTCTCTACCACACTTTTGTGAATGCCGATTACTAATACAAAAATCGATCCGGAAGACTGGTTTAAAGCCTTTCGTAACTCAAGACTATAGCTCGTTAAAGTAAATGTGAAATATATGCCTGAAGCTGCAAGTTAATGTGGCATCGTTGTGAAGTGGTGTTAGGGAAGAGTTGAAGTGTTTCTATGATAGCACCGCAGCTTATATTCTCCGTGTTTGTTATAACAGGAAAGAAATCAAATTGTAAATGGACTATTTAGCTGGAATCATCGGAGGTTTCCTCAAATCAGCTTGAACAGAGCTAATGTTTGGAGCAGAACTACCGAGTGTTAACAAGTCAACCTGACAAGACTGACAGTCAGTTGGTGAAACCGAGAGACAAACGATGCCATCGATGTTTGACGAGCTTCCTTTCGTCTCAGCCCCTGACTCTGACACTGCCTCCGATTCAGGCAACGATAGGGATAGTCAAAAGGACCGAAAATGGAAATGTGTTCCTACCAACAATCCCTTAAGGTTAAGGCCAAAGAAGTCGGTGAGCGATGAAAATGAAAAAACACGTGAGTTATTATTCCACCTTTTCCATCTTTCGCCTTCCTTCATTTTGCATTCCTTTCATTCTCTCCTCTTCACTTTAGTTTCCATAACTGGCTTATGTGCAGGATAGGTCATACGAAACTTGAAATTGCGTGTGTGTACACTGTGCTTACTTTGCTCTTTGCTAGTTGTGGATTGTCTACCTTGAGACAAAATTTAATAAGTGGAATTCCTTGTCACCCGAATTTCTCCGCTGGCTATACAATTTGTGCTACGTTTAATTAGAGCTTCATTCTCTCCCGCATTCTTTTTGTTCCAAACTAACGATGCTCAACCCGTTTCGACTGAAAAAGCTGGCGTCGATTGGGATGTAATGTGCCTCACCTCCACAGCTGTCTCTGCATTTACATCTGCGTTCACCACCGACTCTTAAAGTGTATCTTCCTTAGCCTCACGTAGGTGTGCCAACCAGAAGGACAGGTTTGCATGATATAGATCTCATGAATCGGCTAAAATTGACAAATGTGGTATCCTTAAAATATCTACTTTCCTCTGTTACTCTTGCAAGTGATTTTTAATGTTTGAGCTGTACTGTACTCACATCGACTTTTCTACTCATTCACTTTACTTTTTAGCGGTCAGCATAGCATTGAAAGTATTTGCATCCACTCCCGTTAGGCATACGTCCAGCACTACACTGAACAAGAAGTGCTTCATTTTCTTTAGAATAACTGCAGGATAATAACTTTAATTCTGGGTGGCTAGGTCGCAGTAAGCAATAAATTTAATGCGCTCTTTGTTTAGCTCTGTCACAGAAGCATGCATTTAGAACTTTTTGGCTAGTGTTGCCATTCAAGCTGATACCGTGGTAGAAGTGATCAGCACTTGGCAAACGGCGTCCACTGGTAGTCATTATGCCTTCTTCTTCCTTATTTCTCAGTTCGACACAGGAGGAACCCGATCGGCACTCCTCAACGGCGTGGAGCATCGTGATCAGCAAAGTGACATCATTTTCCAGTAATCAGCAATTTCTAATCTTCTTTTACACTTTGTTGAAAACATCGCATTTGGAATAAACTATACAGTCACTCTGCGTCCCTCTTTATCCGAAGACGGAAATCTAGTATTTGCAACCCGAAAGTTCACCCTCTTGTTCCGTTTACATGCTTACCGAACCGACTGCTTTTAACACAAACAAACCATTTACTGGGTCACATATTAGCTTGTTTTCAGGTAGCGCCCTGGAGCTACACTTTTAAGTCGTCATTGGTACCTCTATAATGTGTACTTGTGTTCCACAGAATAAAACATTGTAGGTGCATTCGCCTTTAGTCTTCACTTCACT